CGGGCCCAGGACCCTGCTGCCGGGCCATGGCGCTGAGGGAGCTCAAAGTGTGTCTTCTGGGGGTGAGTGGCAGCCGGGAGGCGGTGGGAGGCGGGAGGGCCGGGCCCCGGCGCCCCCACGTCACCTCCACCTCTGCCCCGGCTCCCGTCCGCCCCGCGGACCCTCCCTCCAGACTCGGGGCGGTCCCGCCCACCTTGCTGCATCCTCTGCTGGGTCGGAAGAACCTCCCCTTTGCCCTCCCTGGAGCCAGTAGTCTCTGATGCCCCCGAAGTGCGGAGCTCTCTCTGCGCCCCATTGCATCTAGGTAAAGATCGGCTCTTAAATAGTTTCCTCCCAACTTGCCAAGGGTCTGGTTGGGAGTTGGCCAGGCCTTTCAAAGTAAGACCAGTGATAAGTCTTTGGGTTTCAGGAGCACCAGGAGCCTCCTTTCCCATCTGCTGGGTGTTGCTTTCCATTTGTGGCATAGCAGGCTACTTCTGGCCGATTTATAATCCTTTACAAAGTAGCTCTTCCTGTGGGCAAGGTGAGTGTCAGGTCAGGAAGCCCCGAGACTGGTGTGAAGCTTCAGCTTCCTGTCCTGTCAGGCACCTTGGCCGGTGAAAGCCTCTTTCTGAGGTTGATGCTTTCTTGGCTGAGTTTCTTCCTTAAAGATTGAAAAGAATTCCAGAAACTATTTTTTGCCCCCAAATAGGGTGGGGCTGAGATTCATCAGGGATTACTCAGAGTAATTCAGGAGTATATAGTTTATTAGTATGTGTTAAACAAGTGAGTGCCGTTTTTCACTCAAAGCAGAAACTTCGGGTCTTTCATAAGTTCTCCCATAACACAATTTGAAATCTCTTAGTTACTCCCCTAAATTTTTATGAAAAGCCTCTTTTATGTCCCTCAATTTATGAAATTGACCCATCTAGGATGATTTTTCTAACATCTGAACTTAAGCCACAAAGTCATTTTCAGTGTCTGCAAGCTGGTAAACGTTTCCTCATTCGGTCATGTCCTCTTTCAGGATACAGGCGTGGGTAAATCGAGTATTGTATGGCGCTTTGTGGAAGACAGTTTTGATCCAAACATCAACCCAACAATAGGGTAAGAGATTACATTTATTTAATATTCTAAAAGTGTATTGGAAGTACTTCCAAATAAAATGTGTCGCAAGTGTGGGCCCTGTCATTTTATACCCAGCGATTCGAGTCACTGGTTCCTTTGGTCTCCAGAAGGACTTGGAAGAATCCAGTGAGTGAGGCTTGGTGTATTTTAGGAAAGTTATCTTCAGATTGTGGGGAATGAAAACTTCAAAATGAAACTGTGGATTAGGGTTTTACTTACTGGCAGAGCAGACGGGAGTGTATAGATATCATCAGCAACGACACCTTGAAAGAAGGCACATGAAGACAGGTCCTCTTCTTTCAGACATGTCAGCTAAAAAGATAGGTACATGGTTTTAGTCCTTCCTGAAAGGTAGTTGGATTGGGTTCTTACCCTTCTCACATGTTCCTACACTGGTAGCAATAATAAAGTAGGAAGTTAACCTTGAAACCTGAGGGCTTTGTTTTGCTCTGTTTTGTTTTTGATTCTCTGCTGCTTTGGATAAGTGAAGTTGATTATCTGTAGGTTTTGACTCTATAAGAAGACTTCTCAGGGCATTTAAATGTCGAATATTAATGCTTTCTGCTAGCAGTTGCATTTTAGAGATTTCAATACTACATTAGACTTGTAAAATGCAATGGCTGCTATGCTGGTTTTTTGTTGTTGTTGTCGTTTTTTGAGAGGTTTTCGCCATAGGGCACATGCGCTCACCAGAAAGACAGAGAGAGACAGAGAGATAGAAAGGGAGAAATCACTCCCCAGCGGGGATGGCCACGCTGCAAGCTGCTATGCTGTTTTACTGTCAACCCTCCCCCCCAATCAAATGGTCTCTTCCATTTAAAGAAAAGTCCTGTGTTACTCTTCATGAAGGTAAAGTATCTCTTTGTGCTCTGTGCAGGGCATTCTTGCCCAATAATGTTTTTTTCTTTTTTTTTTTTGGAGAGATTTTTGCTATAGGGCGAGTGCGCTTGCCAGACAGAGAGAGACGGGAAGACAGAAAGCGAGAAATCACCCCCCAGGGGGGGATGGCCACACCGCAATCCCTTCTCCTTCGTTCTCCTGTCAGGATCTTGGGCACGCACGCACACACGCCTGGAGTGAGTTTTAAGCCACCGGGTCCAGGATGCGAACTGCAGTCGACTACATGGGAGTCCAGCAACATAGCCATTACGCTAACTGCTGGTCCCATTGCCCAATAATGTTTTACACCCCATGGGGGGCACCGCTGTAAGTCTGTCCTTGAGCTATCATGAGCTACTCTCATCAGTTAACATGCCCAATAATTCTGATATCTGTTTTGTTAAAGTCTAGGTTTCCTATCATTTGTAGGCCTGGGATGAAATCCACTACTAACTCTTTCTGTAGTTAAAATGCCTTTCAATATCCTTTGAAAAAGAAGTGGGTACGCCCACATATTTAAAGGGTGAACTCACCCCCTCAGGGCGTGCCTGTTGCTACCTGCATGGGAAAGTGAAGTGATAGGAATGACAGCAGGTAGTACTGATGATTCAGGGAGTGACAGACTAAACACTGAGTCAGAGCCGCAAACCCAGAGCTCGTGGGATACCCAGATGCCGCCTGGGCTGGAAGTGCTCCCTCACGTGGGAGAGGAGGACAAAGCGTCCGGCTCCATGGATCTTGTGAGGCCCACAGCCCCGTCCGGGGCTTCTGCTGTCCTGCTTGCCCACTGCTTCCATCTGCCAGGTGTTGGTAGTTCTGCCCTCCTCCTGGCCGCTGTCTTCATCAGGAGTGCGGGCTCGCGCCGCATGGGAAAGAACGCGCAGATTCCTCCTCATTTCCTTCTCAGCCTCAGAAGATGGCGTCCTTCCTCATGACAGCCCCATATACACCCGAGCTCTAGGGCCCCTCTTTCTGGTTACCCCTTTCTCCCCCAGCCCTACCTCGTCGTAGTCTGCAGACACGCTCCTGATTGACCTGCTCCATGAGGAGGAGCACCAGTCCCCAACCCTGCTGTTCAGATCGCAGAACTCCTGAAAGAGAAGCAACTACTTCCTCAGCTACTGCTCACTCCCCAGCCCGCTGCCATCTGGCTCCACCCCACCTTGCCACTAAAGGCACCTGCCCTGGTACTAGTTCCCATCCAGTAGCCAGTGCCACAGGTTTGGAAGTTGTTTTGTTTTGGAGGGGAAGTTACCTTTATCTTTTGGGTCTTAGGAAAAGTCGCAACATATTTTTCTATTTCTCTCTATGTAAAAATGTACCCTGACTTTCCCGACAACCCAGTATTTCTTGAGGTGGTAGACTGGGTGCTGGTGATTTAGACCAGGTCGGCAAGCTGTTGACCTTTAGCCTGCCTGCGATACGGCACAGCCCGTTGGAACAGTCACACTCGTCTGTTTACGTATTATCTTTGCGGCTTTCAGGCTACACTGGCTGAGTTGAAAAGTGTGACTAAGACACCATTGCCCTCCAACCTGAAAATGCTGGTCCCTGGCACTTCTCAGCAGGTTTGCTGCCCCTGGTTTAGACAAGCTCAGCTGCTATCCTACAATCCCCACTTAGAAGGAGAGAGATGTGTTCTGTAACTGATGTACGTACGGGAGCTGACTTACCGTTCCCTGGGCTACCAAGGACAAGTGTTGGATTCTGTGAGAACACAGGGCAGGCCTGGCCTGGGCCTCATCGATTCCTGCAGGGACAAATGAAGGGGGAAGCACTTAGGGTCATGTTGGCCACATAGTGAAAGATGGGTGCTTGATCTTCAGCTGGAGGTTTAAGAAGGCTAATGATAATAGTGAGAGACCGTGACTAGGAAAAAGCTGGAGCAGGCTGGGGGACAGTGGTGACCTTAAGGTGAAAGGCAGAGCAGGTTAAAGGAGTGGTCAGAAAGCTGAGGTGGCCAGGCCACAGGACCCTGGGGACCAGGGGAGGCCTCCCATCACTGCAGGACACATGCAGCTTGTCAGGATATAGCCCCTGTGGCTTCCTTAGTTCCCTTCCTGCTTCCATGACTGTGCCTCCTCACTGTTGCCCCGGCCTCCCCTCCTGCTTAGGTAGTAAATGTCAGTCTTCCGCAGGTTGGGTCCTGGCCCCCTGTGTTTCCCAGTTACTCTCCTCACCACCCACAGCTCACCTTCACCTCATAATGAAAGGTTCACTTCTCCAGGCTTTCTCCTCAGGCCCAGGCCTGTCCCCAGGCATGCTGTGGACCTGGGCCCTGCAGAACTAGGCATCTCTGCATCCTCCAGTGCTAAATGCCACGTTCCCGTATTGGTTCTTCCTTCGTGACCAGCTGTCGTATAGTGGGGAAGAGCGTGGCCCTGAAGAAGCATCCTGCCCTGGACTAACCCAGGGCCTCGGCCATGCACTAGCTGGAAGGACTTCTGTGCAAGAGACCGAGTCTCTCTGCTGGGGGCAGGGAGATGGTAGTCGTGCCTGCTTCTGGGCTCATTGGATTAACTCCATCCCTGCTACTGAATGTGCAGAGGGAATGTGCAGTAAATCTTAGCGGCTGGGAGTGGTTCTGTGATCACATGCTGTGGTTCCATCCCTCTCCACCCTCCCAGCCCACTCCCCAAACCCTGTCGTATCCATTCTTCCCTCTTGCTAGGACCTGAGCCCCCTTCCTGTCCTCCCACTGAGTCCTCATCCTGTCTACTGTCTCATAACTGATTGCCCCTCTCCTGCTTCTGCCTCCACTCAGCCCTCTCTGAAAACATCGGCTCTCCTGCTCCAGGCATGGCAGAGGCCGCCTGTCCCAGGCCAGGCCTGGCCTTCTCTGTCATGTGCTGCCTCCATGCACTTCTTGCCCACTTCCAACACACCAAGTACTGTTTCCACACCTGTGTGCTTGGCACATGCTGCTCCCTCCTGAGGCCCTTCCTGTTTCTCACCCCCTTGCACATACTTGTTTATCTGTCAGCATTCTGGTACACTGCGAGCCTCTCTAAAAATTAGTTCCAGGCTCCAGGGTCAGCAGGGACAGGCAGGAATGTAAATAGATGGACCAGGTGGGAACTGTCCCTATCCTACCTCCCCTGCCCATGTTCATCTTTTACCTTCAAGGCACTTTGCTTCGGTCTCCTGCAGGCTCCTCGTCCCTTGTTCATCATAGATGTCGGATGCCCAGGATTTCGAGCAGACCCCTTCTCGTTGCATTTTCTCTGCCTGATGACCTAACTCATGTCATTCGGTCATCCAAAGCCGAGGCTTGTTTAGACTGAGAGTGCTTCTGGTCCCTCCTTCCAGATTCTGGGGACCCTCTCTCTTGCAGTACACAGAGGAAGACAGACCCCCCATTAAAGTCACCACTGCGGTGAGCTGTGATCTCCAGTGAGAGGTTATTGCGTTCACGTGTGCTGCTTAGAAAACAGGTCAGTTCCACAGCAGGAGCACAAGACCCTCTAGTTCTAGACCTGTAGATTCCACTCAGCTTATGGCCTGTGCTCATAGGTGACCGCCAAATCTGGAGACTACATGTTTGCGACCAAGCTCATGAACCCCTAGAAGCTAGACCTTTGCTCTTTCCATAGTAATGAACAGGAGCAGCATGCGCTTTGTCACTCAAGCTAGCAAACTGGGCATCCTTGTAGATCCCCTTCTAGCTTTCCGTCCCCTTCCTCCAGCTAGCAGAGAGTCACTAGCTCCTGTCCAAGCCACCTCCTAAATGTCCCTCTATCCCCACTGCAATATCTGACATCTTGGTCGTCGTCTTCCCTGGTGGGGATGAGGCTTGGGCTTTGGATTCAGACTGGACTGCAGCTCTGCCTCTTGCTAGCAAGTTAGGCCCTGGGCAACTTAATCCCTCTTTCACTAGCAGCAGAATAAAAGCAGTGATAAGACTAGTTCTGTATCATGTCCTTAGGAGTATTCCATAGATCCCACATTTAAAATGCTTAACAAGGGGCCAGCAGGTAGTGTGGTTAAGGTGTTGGACTCCCACATGGCTAACCATGGTTCGAGTCCCAGACCTGGCGGATTGCTTGCTCGCTCTTTCTCTCTCTCTCTGCTCAGACTAATAATAAATTAAATAATTCTTA